GCCCAAACAAGTAACTTCTTGTGTTTGCTGAATCTTATCAGTGCTCTGTTTTGTTTTCTCTCATTGTTATAAAATGGCAGAATATCACCCTTGTTTATATGTGCACCCTTGAGATGGGATGTTTTTTGCTTTGTTGCATGTAGATTCTTCATAATAAAGCAGCCGATCCTGCTACTTTTTTTAAGCGAGATTCTATACCGAACTGGTTAATTTTTGCATTCTTGGTCCTCAACAATAGCAGATCTTATTCAGCGCAAAATTTGATATCTCTTTTTTTTTTAAAAAAAAACCGTTGCTGTAATATGTGACGTAGCGATGCGATTAATCGAGGACTTTTTTTAGTGGGGCGAACAACGAGCAGTGTTGTACATGCGCACCCTCAGTCGCCTGAATGCAAAAAAGAAAATGGCTCGGATGAAAAAGTTTTGGGCATTGATAAGCCGTTCCCACTGCCGGTGCCGCTTGACTACCGTGTCAGGCGAACCGGTGAGCAGAGTCTACTTGTTTTACCTCAAAAGTAAGTCTTCAGTTGTGTTTGCAAGCCGGGAATTCATGATTTTTAGTCAGTCTGCAGACCAATTTTCTCCATTATAATTCCTGAGTTACTAATTTCTGCATAATTTTAGAGCGTTAAAACGTTTGGCTCGCCAAGGTGGCGTCAACTCTGGTTATTTTGCTCCTGGTTTCCATCGTATGGCAAAAAGCAATACACAGGTGTGGAACTACCCGTGTCCACGACCGCTCTTCGACAATTGTTGGAGGTTTGCGTCTTTGTTGCAAGCAGTTTCCATACTTGTCTTCATAGTAAAGGCTTTCATCGAAATTCTTCCGTGAAAAATTATTTTTTTTTCTTTTTTCTTGAGCCGTGTGCCTAGTTATTGTTACAGCTGGTAACCCAGTCTTTACACCAGTCCAAAGGAGCTAAATATAAGAGGCGGGCGTATGATTATTATCAAAATTAGTGTCTCAGTGACAGCATGTCTGTGCGTTAGGAATTGAATTTAAAAGCATTGATTAGGGGAGTGTTGTTTGAAGAAAGTAAGTTAAAAGTAAATTCCTTCATGTCTTACATTGAATGGTAAGCGTTCGCTTCTGACATACCAAAAGATATTGTTTTCTTAACAGCAACAACTGGCTGGTATGCCTGTCGACAGCTTCTGCTGTGTGCTAGTGTTAGTTTTTTACCAAAATATCGATTCGTAAAGGAACTGATCCGGCACCGAGGAATCCAAATAGTTAGCTCGATTGTAAGAATTGCCGTTGTCAGAAAGGACATTGGATACTTACTTTGCTAGTCCAGTCAGCTGCTGTTTCATCGCTGCGTTTCTTTCGCTATTAATGTAATTGGTAGCTTCTCATTTCTCTGCTTCGGACTTCTCTCATCCGCGTAATTCAGTGCGAGCGATCGTTCTGCTACACTGGCGGCTTTTCCCATGTTCAGTCAACATCGTGTGAATATCGTTCAGTTGTCCGTCCCATCCCTCTGATGTTTTTATGCGTTTTTTGCAGCAATGCAATGCGAAAAACGCATATTGACGAGAGGTTGTCTGTG